TCTCAAGAGTTAAGTGATATGCGCTTAAAAGTTAGTAATATTAGACGACAATACCAGAGGTGCGCACCCGGGGATCGCCGGGAAGAACTCAAACATAATTATTATGACTTAAAAATAGAATATAAAAATATTATTAATAAATCTAAAACTAAAAGCTGGAATGAATTCATCATAGAAAACACCCGGGACAATCCCTGGGGTATTGTTTATAAACTTGCTGCACAAAAAATTCAATCTCACATCCCATGTGAACTGGTGGACACCACTGGTGGCCTAACTATTAGTTCACAACATATAGCATCACAACTATTGGATTCACTATTTCCAGACGATAACCCTGACAATGACACTACACATCATAATACTATTAGACATTTTTCAAAATATTGCTCTACAACTGGAATAGATTGTGACTTTACTTGCGATGAAATAACCTTGATCATTGGCTCACAAACCCCTAAGAAATCACCTGGATTAGATGGTTTCACAGCAGATATTATTTCATTCATACATAATATTGAAAAATCATTATTAACACAAATATATAATAAATGCCTTCATTTAAGTGTTTTTCCGGTGCTATGGAAACAAAGTGTGGTTAAAGTTATACCAAAAGCCGACAAAACTGATTACCGGGTGGCGGGTAGTTATCGACCCATAAGCCTGATATCAGTATTTGGAAAAATATTAGAAAAACTTTTAATTAATAGAATATCACATTATTTTCGTGTTAATGATATTATGCATTCAAATCAATCTGGATTTACACCTCAAAAATCTACCATCGATTCATTGAACTCATTGAAAAATTTTATAACTAAAGCGTATAAACGTAAGGCCTTTGCACTCATCATCTCATTGGATTTTAAGGGTGCTTTTGACCACACCTGGTGGCCCAAGATCATCCATTCATTGCATACTTATAATAGCCCTGATAATTTACTACAACTCTCCAAAAGCTATTTTTCAGAAAGAACTGCAAAGATATGGTATTTAAATCGCGAATATGAGCGCAAAATAACCGTCGGATGCCCGCAGGGGAGTGCGTGTGGGCCCGGGTTTTGGAATATACAATATAACGATATTTTTGATATAATTAGTGATTTAAATAACGTAAAAATTGACGCCTTTGCAGATGATACAATAATCAAAATATATGGGGATTCTATCGATGACCTGGAGCATTTAGCCAATATTGCCCTCACCAGGGTCAGTCAGTGGGCAGATGATAATAAGTTGCTTTTTAATGTGGCAAAAACTAACTGTGTATTATTCACTAATAAACATAAATATACGAAACCGGATATTAATTTCCGTGGTGAAAATCTTGAAATTAAGAAACAATTTAAACACCTGGGCGTAATATTTGACAGTAAACTAACCTGGCGACCACATATTACCTACATTATTACCAAGGCAGAAAAATTGGTTCATAATTTGATTCGACTTGGAAAACAAAAGTTTGGTATTAACTCAAAATCACTTGAGATTATATACAAGGGAGCAGTTCTACCCATTATTAGTTACGGGGTCTCTGTATGGAGTGAAGCTATAAATCGCAAAACAATTGTCGATAAACTCCAATCTCTACAGCGGAGGTTTGCATTAAGAATGATCAGAGCATACAAAACAGTGTCAATTGACGCCTCCAATGTGCTGGCTAACTTTTTACCAATTGATTTATATTTAAAATCAATCGTTTTTGAATATCATATTTTGAATAATATTTATCACCCAATGCTCGATGAATTCTTAAATAATAATGACCTGGCTCTAAATTTACTTGAAAAACGTGTGCCTATCAAACAGTTGCCTCACCCGGCAAAACGCATTCAAATACAGCTTATTACTGAACCATTGGATAATAATTATAATTATAATATATATATTAATAGCTATAATAATAATACCGGCGCCGGCGCTGCTTATGTAATATACAAAAGTAGTCTCAATGTTAAAGAATGTGTACTAAAATTAGCTAATTATTGTAGTGTATTTCAATCAAAACTCTATGCGATATTGAGTGCTATTCAACATTGTGTCGACAATTATAATAATAATAACATGACTATCATATTACATATTAATGACATTTCTATTATCAACGCTTTAAAAAACATTAACTCAACCTCTCATTTAATACATAATATATATTCGCTTTTTTACATTTTACAGCAAAACTCTATTAACCTTCATATTATGCAAACTGATATCACCTCTTATGGACTCATATACGCTAAATCATTGTCCATCACTGCATTGGATCGGAATATATTAGATT